AGGAGTGCAGGGGTACCTCAGGGTGGTGGGGAGGCCCTGAGAGCCCCAGCACAGGCCACGTAGAAGTTAGGAGGACTGCTGCAGTGCAGTGCAAAGCTGCAGCTGCCCCTGCAAGCCTCAGCTGCTCTAGCCTGGCCCAGCAGTGCTTGTGACTCCATGGGGAGCTGCAACTCCCCCCCCACCTATCTCCCCCCATCTATCCCTTTTTGCTGCCCTGCATAGTGGTACTTGTTGGCAGCACCAGGACTGGGGCTGAAGTAGAGGCCTAAGGCCTTCAGCAGTCTCAGCCAGCTGCCACTGCCCCCAGGCCTTGACTTCAGTCACAGTGTTACTGCTGCCACTGAGAAATCCCATCCCATGCTGCTGGCCTTCACTGCCTCACACCGTTCTCCAAGCTGTGCCTCTCATTCCTTCCCCAAGCTGGCATCCCATTGTTGCAAGACCTGGGGAAGACCAGAAGGTTTCCAAAGGATCTCAAGAATGGGATGCCAACTTGGGGAAGGAACAGGATGTTGGCTTGGGAAAGGTATGGGACACACAGCTTGCAGAAGGAACAAGAGGTGCCAGCTTGGGGAAGGAATGAGAGGCATGGCTTGGAGAACAGCACAAGATGGACAAGGCCAGCAGTGTGGCATTTTTCAGTGGAAGCGGTGGCACTGGGGCTGAAGTTGAGCCCTGGGGAGTTGGCAGCTGGCTGAGACTGCTGAAGGCCTTGGGCCTCTACTTCAGCCCCAGCCCCAGCACTGCCACTGCCAAGTATCACTGTGCAGGGCAACCAAAAGGGTATAGATGGGGGAGAGATGGGGAGGGGAGTTGCAGTGCCCCTGCAGTCATAAGTGCAGGTAGGCTACCAAGTGCCCAAATTTTGATCACATGACTGTGGGGGTGCTGCCACAACTGTATCTTCAGGCATGGGTCGTAAATCCACTTTTTTCAGTGCCTTTGTAATTTCAAACACTGAATGAATGGTTGTTAAGTAAGGGCTTCCTGTACTGATTCTTCTTCTATTGCTTACCATATTTCAATGGGCATTCCATCAGTTCCTGCAGCCTTCCAGCTTGGTAATGACCAGAGTGCTGACCTAACTTCATTTTCTAGTACTAGAGGTTCTTGTAAGTAGGGAATATCTTCTAAGGTATCCTCCTTCCATCTTTGTTTGATCTCCTTTGAATTGGTTATTATAATACTTGGCTTAAACAAAGGTGTGTATGCCTAGGTCATTTGAATGGTTCTTTCACAAGTGAAGCCATTATTAAAGCTAGAACCTAAGATAACTTCAAATTTCTGTGCTTCAGTTAATTTAAAAATCAATGGCTTGCATGTAGATAATCAGAGTAATCAAGTCCTTGAAAATAAGGAAAGAGCCACAACTTTGAAAGGAAGTTTGCATTACTAAGCAATCATTAATTCTAGTAAAATACTTTTAAGCCACACACCAATTAATCCACCACAGAGCCCTATGATGTATAAGATTTTAAACATACCTATTTCTTTTTAACTAAAAAGAATCAAATTAAAAACATAGTCTATTCTACCAAATAACAATGAAGAATACCTCCTTTCATTCTAACTCAGTGTTATCTTGCTGTCCTTTTTTAAAAACAATGTTTAAGGCCATTGGATTTTTAAAAATACATTAGCAGATATTCCTCTATGGTTTCAATGGAATACTTCCAAACATAGAGGTGATTTTATCCTTCTGAATGTCCATAGCCTTGGTTTTAATTTTACTTTCCTAAAAAGAGCCATGGAAGATTATTTTTATATATGATTACTGCTGCGAGACTATTATATGCGCAAAAATGGAAAGATTCTGAAATAGAGATGGCAGAGATGGCAAAGTTAACTTCTTTGATTGGAGAAATATCAATAACTACATTTATTAGTGACTGGAAACCCCTTATGGATTTTTTTGCTGAAAAAAAAGAGAAAAATGAACTTGTGATTTATGGGTTTGAAGATTAGAAAGGGTAGCTTTTGGAAAGAAGGAAATTATGATGTAACCTTAGAGAGAGAGGGTAAAATATAAATGCATTTATA